ATCACATGTGATTAATTCTGAAATCTGAAAAATAGTCTTGTATAACTTTTCATAAACATGTATATTCAACTTGTATCTCCCCCTAAAACATATAAAACATTTGAAAGGTTCATTTAAGGGGTATGAACTCACCTGAAATCGCGGAAATCGGGTAAATCGGGTAAATCGGGTAAAAGTGTCGATTGAGCGTTTGGTACCCAATAACCTCTTGAGCACCTCCTAGGACCCTAATGTCATATGAAATATGTATTTTACAAGAAGTTAATCATCTTATGCTTTTCATTATAGTATTTGGACATTCTAGCATCGTTTTCGGGGTTTTAAGGCCTAGAAGGGGTTCCCGAGAGTGGTACAAAGTCATGAATGATTTACGGGAGGGTTCACGAGCTCACTCTTTTGGAGTTTATGGCCCAAAAGCCATCCTTTGGGAGTTTACGGCCGTAAACCCCCTAGGTTTGGCCGTAAACTCTTGTGGCACTCCAAAGTGTATGTTTAAGGTCTTATTTCACTTCCTTGATTTAGTGGTATGTGTCTTGGACTATTTTAAGGGATTAAACATCATAATTTGTGACATTTTTGGGGAGTTTACGGCCAAGACTTGTTCTTGGGCCGTAAACTCTTGTAAACCCTTCAAGATGTATGTTTTATTGGTACAACAAAGTCTCATACACCTTAGATAAATCCTAGAAGGCCATATAGTGAGTTTGGGACAATTTGGCATATATTTTTGGGGAGTTTACGGCCCAAGAACACCCTTGGCCGTAAACTCTTCATTTTGTGTCCAAATGTGAAGTTAAATGGTACAACACACTTCCAAAGGCCTTAACTAAATTCCTTACAAGCACTAGGGTAGTTTAGGGACTTGTTTGACACAAATTTTTGGGTGTTTACGGCCCAAGCTTAAGCTAGGCCGTAAACTCCTCATTTTGTCCTCAAATGGAGTTGTTTGATGCATTTAAGTGTTCCTTAGCGTCAAGTCCAATTTACCAAACATCTTAGAAGAGTTTTTGGGACTTTAAACAAGTGTTTTTGGTGTGTTTGAGGTGTTTACGGCCTAAGCACATGCTTGGGCCGTAAACTCCTTTTTACATGTCTAATCCATGTGTTTTAGTGTCCAAACCCTTCTAGATACATGCCTTAATTAGTATACTAGCTTAACATGAGGAAAAACTTGATCTTTGGCATGATTTTGGGGGTTTACGGCCTAAGGAGCTTCTTAGGCCGTAAACTCCTTTATGGTCCTTGATTCTCATGATTTTGGACTCTAAAAGCAGTAAAGTATGATTAGATTAAGTTAGGGGATGAATCCTTACGTTTGGAAGTCGGAAATTCGCAGATTTGGAGTCGATTTCGGGTCTAGAGAGAGAAAGTAGTGAGAGAGAGGTGTAATTGTGGTAAAAGAGTCCAATTGAAGTGTTCAAGTGTTTTTATATGTCTCGGGTATTGTACCCGATACACGGCTACTCGATGCTAAAGTTTAACGGGGTTAAAACTTTTTACCCGGGTGAAGTGGTTGAAACAGTAATACAACTCTATTAGGTTAAACTAGATTAACACGTATGAGTTATATTACTTATAATGATATTAGGACATGCATATAATTAGATATTCGGATATTAACGATTCCAAATATTACATAAAATAACGTACGTTAACGTATTCCGTTAGTGAAAATGGGATTTGTAACGGGAATAGATTTAGGGTTGTCACATCCCTGTAGATCGATTAAAAACAAAATTGAAGAGGACACCTTTAAAGGACGGTAATACATTTTTCTTCTTCTTCTCTCTTCCACAACTGTCTCTTCCAGATCGAATCTCCCCCTGCAATCTAGGGTTCTGCAAATCTCCTTAAGCTCTTCCGATTACATTTGCTGAACCTCTCTTCACGATCTGCCCACGTCTGAGACATTATTTACATTTCAAAGTACATAAACCCTTTTCCCCTTTTCAATATTTGCAAAGATTTGATTCAATCTTACCCCTGTTTTAGCAATACTTGGTGTCCGATTTGATTTTTTCTTCTATCGTTTTTAGGTTTTGTACCGATCATGACGATTGCTGATTCGGGTGCCCTAATGGAAGAGCGAAGGATTGTTAAGGAGTTAACAGATAAGGCCGAGTTATGTTTGAAAGAGGGAAACTTATATTATGTTGTCTCCAACAGGTAATCTAATGTATATCTATGTTAATTTATATTATGTCATCACCATTTCTCTCTGTCTTCTCTAAGTTAACTTATCTAATGAATTCGATTAGTATGTTAGTGTGTTTGGCTGTACTTTATCTTATTGCATGTAAGGTGTTTGTGAAAATGTCTAAAAGAGAACTTGATATAATATATACAATTTGTTTGATCGGTGGGTTTGGATGTACATTATCTCATGATTGATTTTGTATATGATTGATTTTAGGTGAATTTGATTAGTGTGTTTAGTGTGTTAGTGTGTTTGGTTGTACTTTATCTTATTACATGCTAGGTTTATTCTAGCAGAATGTATTCTGCTACTTGTATTTCACTTGACAATATCTGATGTGTATATACATGCTTGTATGTGTTCACTTAGGAAATACGTTCCTTATTCATTTTTTATTACGTGATGCATCTTTAGTGGTAATACAAAAATGCAATATAAAATAGCAAATTCAAAAGGTTTTTTAAATGATGCCATGACTACCTTATGCTTGAAGATCTTTTCATGCTTAGAATAATTTTGATGTGTTTCGAACACCTTCCAGGTTGGTGATAATGTTTATATAACTAAAATAGAAAAGATGATGATAAAAACATTGATATTTCATCCCAACTTGTGAGAAATACTCGATTTGCTCATGGACCTTCACATATAAATATACTCATCTAGGTAATTTTATTTATTTTATTATTTTATGCTGCAACTTGATTATAGATGATAAGTTTTCATGGTTTCATTACATATACTAATGAAAAGAAACTATTATACAATGTATTATAACAGAATACTAATTTTTTTAGGAAAATCAAATACACAATATAGTAGATTCTGTAAGAATACATTATGCTTTGTATAGTATATTATGTTAGAGTAAACTCAGTTAGAATTTAAAATAATAATTACACTTTAGGTTTAATGATTCTTTAAGAGTTTTTGTTAAAAATTTTATAATATTTTTTGGTTACACAATAGTAATGGGTAACTGTATGATGCTATAAATGGTAATTGCATATATATTCTATCAGAAATAAATGGTAACTAAAAATTATATTTAATGATTCTTTTAGAATCTTTGTTTACCTTTTAATCTTTCTTTCTTTTTCTTTCTTTTTTTGTAATAGATATTTCTCTTGGATTGCCTATTATTCTGCCAGAATAAAATCTATGTTTTTTGCCAGAATGTATTCTATGTATCCTATCATATTATATGTATTCTACCAGAATATATAAAGTGATAGTTAATTGCAAGTAACATGTTTTTAACCATTATTAGTTTTTGTTGTATTTGTGATAGGAATGGCTGGAAGAATACGTTGAAGACCTAATAGGAATAACTTGAAGAGTGAATAAAGTTTGATCACACTCATAATTTTAGAATGTTGTTAATTTTTTAAAGATTTTTATTCATTTTTGTTGATATTCTTTTAAAATATGTATAATTATATTAAAATGTATAAGACTTTTAATCTGTAAGAATATGTATGAATTTTGTATTTAAGTTCGGATGTATAAGAATATATTAGAATATTGTTATTTTTCAACATTGGATTCAATAATATTGTTATTCTTCAATAATATTCTAATAGAATAAAATTGTGAAAGAACATCATTCTAACAAAAAAATATTCTGACAGAATAAAAATCGGTTATGTATACAAATTACATTAGAATTAAAATTGAATTAGTTAACAAAATTCAGATTTTTAAATTAGGAGAAATAATTATCCCTAAAGATCCGAAATTTTCCTATTATAAATGTAGTTAATTGTCCAAAATACCCTTTTGCTAGAATTTGTGTGATTATATAGTACATGTTATCCCATTGTAATATCATACAACGTCAAATCATGTACATTGATTAATTTCATCCGTTGGTCCAGATCTGTGCATTCTGACACACAATAGTTAGTAAAAACAAAATAATCTAACTATATATATATATATATATATATATATATATATATATATATATATATATATATATATATATATATATATATATATATATATATATGCAAGGTACAAGGATTATTGTAATATGTGGCTGGATAAATGGTGTTTCATTATAACCTATAAACTTGTAATTATAAATAAAAGCATAAAACATAGAATAAATAAATAAAAAACTCTAGTTAAAAGTGTATTTCATGGACTAAGATTAAAGTGTTGAACTATAACATGGTTACCTAGTATGTATTCTATTTTGTAAAACTCCTTACAACCACAACACAAAACTAATATAATGATTGAAATCAAAAATATTAATCTAATTAATTGCTATCAATATGTAAAATAAACTAAAGAATGATTACAAAAAGGGATAATAGCTTGAAAATGTAACAAACTTTCAATTTTGTTTATATTTAGTCTTTGAATTTTTTTAGTACTTGAATTATCATTGAATTATTTGAAACTGCTTATTTATCCTTATAATCGATCATACAAGTAACATATAAACAAATTCAAATAATTCAAGGATAAATCAAAATAAAAAAATAAAAAAAAATTAATAGGTAAGTATGGACAAAATTAAAATTTTTACATTTTCAAGTCATTATTCTGTAAAATATATCAAATGCTAAATAACTGAGTCAGCCCCATCTAATTGCAGTGTCAAAGGCACTATGAATTTGATCTAATTATACAAGCAGAACTAGAGCTTTTTAGGTCAATTTATCCGATCCGGTCGTAGTGCAACGTGCACCGGTACACTTCGAACTGCGAACCCCCATCCCGATATTGCGCATATATAAGATATAAAGCTACGAGGAAAACCCCAAATGCATCATCATATACCAAAATCAAAATGCAAACGCCACACACTCCCCTCGACACCTCAATGGCCGATGATGATACTCCACTTCAAAACAACCCTCAAGATTTTGGAAAATCGCTTCACGGGTAATCCCTCTTCGTATTACTTCTCCTCTTCGTTTTCGCTTCCACGTTGAATTTGTTCGATGATTCCCAATCTTATGTTTGTTGTTTTTTCTTTTTTTATATCTTTTCGGATTGTTTTGACGACGATGATCGGAACGCTAGGTGCAATCATTACCGGAGAAGATGCAAAATTCGTGCTCCGTGTTGTAATCAGATATTTTTCTGCCGTCATTGTCACAACGAAGCCACGGTTCGCCTTTTCTCCCCTGTTTACGAATTTCAACAATACTTCAAATCATTTGATAGGGGGGAAGCTTTAGCTAATTGACGTGTTTTGCATTTTGCGATATGTATAGAGCGCGTTGACAAACCCTAAGGAACGCCATGAAATTGTTCGGCACGACGTTAAACAAGTACTCTTTTTTTTTTTTTTTTTTTTTTTTTTTTTTTCTTTGACGAAATATTACGTTTCCGTGCATTAATCATTGTCTTTGAATTGATACGATGAGGTCATCGGTTGATTCGTTGGTGGTTCCAGGTTATATGTGCAATTTGCAATACTGAACAGCAGGTTCGTATTCAAGTTATGAGCAACCTAATGGCGATCATCAAATTTCAGAAAACTTACTTTCCGCCATCACCTAATAACAATCATTCCTATGAAATATGAATATGATAGGTTGCTCACGTCTGCACCAATTGTGGAGTGAAAATGGGGGAATACTTCTGTGGAATTTGCAAGTTCTATGATGATGATGTAAGAACTGCCTCCCTTTCATTCTGTTTTATGGCACTAAGAGTTACTTCATAAAGAAGGTCTCGGAGGGTTTGGACTATATGCTAACTTCTGTATATTTGTGGCCTTGTGATTCAGATTTCAAAGGAACAGTTCCATTGCCATGACTGTGGAATATGTAGGTTAGTATGTAAGAAAAGTTGTGGGCTTTGGAATTATAAATGTGGTTCTTTTTTTTTTTTTCTTTTTCTTTTTTTAAATTATAAAATATCTTATGCTAGAATTATAAATCACTACAGAGTTGGAGGTGGTGCAAAATTCTTCCATTGCCAAAAGTGTGGTAAGTGGTCATGCTTTCAACATTTTTTCCTGCCTTTCCAATCACTTTAGGGGGTGTTTGGCTTGCCAAATTCCATGGGATTTGGTCGGAATTGGAATTCAATTCCATTCCATTCCGATCCCAGGTCTGGTTGCAACTTGCAAATCAGTATGGACTTGAATTATGTTGAAATTCACAAAAATCCTTTGACTTATGGATTTCAAATTTCAGTATTCCACCCTAAAACCCATGGTATTTTTCCTTTTAAAATTACATTGTTACTATTTTAACCCTAGACTTTCAGAAGTAAATACCCATTCGATTATTCACTGCTACCCAAATGTGTTAAGGGAATATGGTTTAATGCATAGAATAACAACCAAAATTTGAAAATTACGAAGATAAAGATTAAAATTTATAAATAGTTTCATTCAGGGTAACATTGCCAAAGTTGGTTGTCATTCTTGATCTTAACTCGAACCTAATTAATTAACTGCGAAGAATGTCATTCAACTTGGTCTATATTACCCTAAAAGACTCTTTTTGTAAAGTTGAAGCCTCTTTTTTGTTGATTTTCAAACTTGAGCTACCAAATTAGAAACAAGGACAAAGGTGGTTGTCTTTTTGAACAATTAATAAGCCTGATTTGTTTTGTGGTCCTCACCATACAAGTTGCAAAATTGGTGTTGGTTTTTCTACGACCACAAGTCACACAAACAAATCTTGGAAATCTTGATTCTTGACTATTTTATCAGGATCTTGCTATGATGTAACGTTGCGTGATAATCATGCATGTGTGGAGAACTCTATGAAAAACCACTGCCCTATATGTTATGAGGTCTGCTCTGCTATCTTTATTAAAATTGTTTATTATTCTACTTTTAAAAAATATATTTTTTTTTAACATGAATGCTTTTATGGTAGTTTCTTTTTGACTCTATCAAGGGTGCAACAATCATGAATTGTGGACACCCGATGCACATGGATTGCTACAAGGAGATGATCAGCCAAAATCAGTTAGTTTATTTACATGTGAATCTTCCTATAAATGATTCCTGGTGATAAGTTGTTGTTTGTTTTGCAGATACCGTTGTCCCATTTGCTCAAAAGCGGTGTGTGATATGTCTAGAACCTGGCGAAGATTAGATCAGGAGGTATACATATACAATTACAAAGTGATTAAAAATAAAATAAAATTATTTTGGGGTATGAAAATAATTAAAATTATGATTTGTACAAAGCAATTTTCACTGCTATAGTCGGGTAAAATTTTCAAATGTATAATGTCGTAATAAGAAAAATATGGAAATTACAATGCTATAAGTGGGTAGATTCGTCAAAGTAAGTTTGTAATTTTGACAGATTGAAGCTACTGCAATGCCTGAAGAATACCGATACGAGGCAAGTCTTTACATTCACTTTTTGCCCTTTGGTTATACATTTTATATCTGTCTTTTCTTGAATTTTATATATAAATTTAATCCTACTTCGGGTGACTTTTAAGTGTTTTGATCCATTTTCCTTTAAATGAATCTGTTAAAATTATGGGTCTGACTCTGACCTATTATTATATCTATTATATCTTGCAGATTCCAATCCTGTGCAATGACTGTAACAATACTAGCAAAACATCGTTCCACATTCTTGGACACAAGTGCAGTAACTGCAAGTCTTACAATACACGAAGAATTGGGACACCAAACAACTCGTTGGAGCCACAGATTTAACTTATTGGGAATGCTAAATTAACACATCTGTCACAAATTCCATATAGATAGATAGATCCATCCATCGTTAGACAGACAGACAAATAGATGTTTTGTTGCTAGATTAAAACCATGATTATTATTATTATTATTATTATTATTTTTCTACGTATTTAGATTCATGCATTTTGCTACAGATGTGTTGTAGAATCGCAAAAGCTCACTATCATAATTCATAAGTGATGTAGGTTTTGTTATTATTAATGGGTTGTGCATTATGTGAGATCTAGATGAGGTCAAATATAGTCTGCTGCTAGGTGGCTGATAGTATATAAGGGTCCAATGTCCACAACAAGCCCAATCCATATTCGTGTTGAAACTAAGCAACCTTTGACCTTTTTTGTAAATATATCACCTGTAACCACTAACCAACTGTGTTATGCCTTATGAGGGTGAATGGCGTGTTTGGATTTGTTGTCCAATATTGAAAGGTCCGTTTGGTGTGTACTTTTTTTTTTCATCTATTCTAATATTGTCGTGTTTTATATCGGGAAACTTGATATTTCCTTTTGTTTGTTTGAGATAATCACTGAAGTAAAAAAAAAAAAAACATCTTTGGAAAAGAAATATCATCAAATAACTACTAATTTTGTAAATATGATGTACCCTAAAGCGTTATTAAACATTCTTAAAAATTTCTTGAAGAGAAATATTAGAATGTTCCCAAGTCATCTCTTGCAAGGCTTCCAATTGAACTGGACCAAACCCGGAACAAATTTGGAACCGGAACCGGTTTAGGGGAAATGACTGGACAGATAACCGGACCATTAACCATATATTGGTGCCGGTTCCTGTTTTTCAGTTTTTGTACCGGCTGAAACTAATACAACATGCAATGCAAATGGAACAAGTCGGTAAAACATTTGTTATTCAATGGATTAGATGGGTTGACATTCACAAATTTAAATTAGTTATCATTCATCATAATGAAAACTAAAAGCATTATAACTTTGATATCCCTTCTTTTGGAGACCGGAACTCAATGAATATGTAACCAAATAAGGTGAAATTCTAGTCTAAAATTAAGTAAAAACAGCAAGCTACATGCTGGGAAAAATATTATGTTATTCCGTCAAACAAATGAGTTATTACAGTTTTAATAGTTTCACAAATTCGACGTTATGTAGAAAATCTGAAAACATTTTACCTCTAATATCGAGTCTAATGAATACATAACCAAATAAGGTGAAAGTATAGTCTAAAACTAAATAAAAACAATAAACTACATGTTGGAAAATATCATGTCCTCCCAACTTCAACCGAATGAGTTATAACAATTTGAAATTTTTTACATATTCAACGTTATGTAGAACCGGTCCAACCCAAATTTTACCAGAACACATTGGAACTGAACCAAAAAAAAGAACTAGAAATGAGGATTAACGAGAATCGACAACCAGCCCGGTGTATGAAAACCGCTACTGATCCAATGGTGGTCCTAGTCTTGTTTGTTGACTTTGTTCCAACTTGTCTAACTGGTCCGTATGTTCACCTTACTTCAAAGTAATCCACAGTATTAATTGGTTAATCACCCGATCTTACTACAAAATTAAATATCGTTAAGAAAAACTAAATTAAATAATAAATATATTTAAATTATTTAAACCATTAACTAAAATTATTCATTATTTATTACTCTATTACTATATTTATTTGTAATATTATCACGTGAATAAATCCATGAATAAACTTGATATTCTAACATTCACAAGCAATGTGTAATATGCATTTCGACATTCCCAAGTGTCGTCTTAAACAATATACATAGTGAAATCTACCAGTTTAAAAAATTGAAGAAAAAAAAAACTCGAAAAATACATATGCACATATATGATATGTGCTTACACTTTTTCTAATTCTTTAAAACATCATCTGCACTATCAATGTGTTTTGGTTAAAAAACTTTATAGGAAGAAGGTACAAAGTTTTTTTTCTACTTTGAGTTATATATATATATATATATATATATATATATATATGGTTCCACTTGAGGTATTCACTAGATGTCAACTCTAAAAGGATCATAGAAAAGACTAGAAAAGTGTAACTTTATGGCTGTCTTTCTAATATTTTAATGTATGTTTCATGCATTTTGTCGGTCACTCGTGCCTTGTTCTACCACCATCTTTATGGTCATTTCTTTTTATTATAAGAAAATATTTACTTCAGATTTTAAAGTAATAAAACTTTCTAATTCAAATTTTTAAATAACATATATTTTTTAATATCTTAACAATTATTCTGTGCAACACGTGATAATTCGTCTATCATATATATATATATATATATATATATATATATATATATATATATATATATATATATATATATATATATATATAGAGAGAGAGAGAGAGAGAGAGAGAGAAAGAGAGAAATGAATATATATTACAACATTATCTAAACTTATATATTAAACCTCATAAAACTACGTCATTTTATTAGCTAAAGACTATGATTAGGGGATTCACAATTAGCACTTGAAATTGCAGATTAAGGATTGAAGCAATAGTTTTGATAGAGAAGCAAGAATACTGATTATCTTCGATGTAACATCCTGTTTTGAATTGTTCCCATTTTGGGTTGGTGATCAAAGGATTGAATATTATCAGGCTTCGGACCCTCAAGGAGTTGGGTTTTGGACTCAGTTGGGGCGGTTAAGGTATTTCAGACGATTTGGGTATTCAGTTTGGTGTTTTGGAATCAAAGGGGCATTTTGGTAATTTGTCAGCTCGGGTTTTTATGCAAAGCGGATGTTCGTTCGGACTTATGGTAAGTATGAACTGATATTAGTGTTGAGCGTCTCGGTACCTTTTCATGGGTACAAGGATGGTCGGATGCGAAACTATATTGAGAAAGATATTGCCTTCGGAATAATTAGGGTTTGTGAAGAACCTTAGTACACGGGGCGTACCAGGGAGGTATGTAGGGCGTACTGATGCGAAGCCGGTTACGCAAGGTGTAGTTGTGACATCCCCATTTTCACGGCCAGAAAAGACCGATTTTGTTTATGTTTTATAAAAATCAGAGTATCTCTTTTAATAAAAACGTTGCGGAATTTGTTCCCAGAAAAAAAAAAAACATGATAATTTCATTATCAAAGCATTTTCGAAGAAATGTATTTTTATTCATTTAAAACATTTGGGATGTCATCGTCAATACATAAACATAAACATAAACAAAATTTACATTCATTTACACTAGTGATCTATATCTCCTTAATATCTCAGTGTAATGTAACTTTACATCGTCACCCGTGATACAAGTAAACTGAGTGAGATAGGTTGGGAAACCTAGTGAGTACAAAGAGTTTTCAACCCACAATAATATAATTATTATGTTTAATCATCAAACAATTAACCCAATTACACATCCCCATTATCTTCTTTATTCCTAGGTACCTTCCCTAAGGATTTATCCTAAGGGTCGTCTCCTACATCATATTTACCTCTCATCTCCTTACATCACATTTCCTTATATGTTTGTTCCTAAGGACTCTCCCTAAGGATCATCGCCTACATGCATAGACAATATTGATTCAATGATTACTTCCTCAATACGTGCCCAACAAGGGTTAGGGCATCATCGCATGAATATGTAGTTACAACATCGCTTGAACTCGTAGTTCATAGTAAGGGGTTAGAGTATCATCGCATGAATACGTAGTTACAACATCGCCTGAACTCGTAATTCATCACCTACAGGTTATGAACCTGCTGGTATTTCCACAGGGTTGTCTATAATAGTCTGTGGTTGCCATGTGTACTCTGGTAGATGACTACATCGCCACATTTCCGGTTAAGGTTATGGTATCTCCTTTCATCCTACATCACCTATTCATCATCATCTATTTACCTAATTATCATCACCTATCTCTCATCATTTTATTTCATCACACACCAAATATTTCATCTACCCATGTTTCATCCGCAACATATTTGTAGATATAAAATAAATATACCGTTTAAATCTTTTAAAACATGTATAAAATCGTTCATCCAACATAGACAACAAATATTCAAATAATATGCACACATAACATGTAATTTATATAAAATACTTCATATCTATGTGTAAGATGAAAGGGACCATGCACTGACAACACATAATTTATATTAAATACTTCATATATATGTGTAAGATGAAAGGGACCATGCACCCACTTGAAAAGGTGGTGATTCTGAACTCAGACAGCGCTTCGCTTCTTAAAAATATTTTTTTTCGACGAAACCTAGTGTTATTACAACTAGAGTTTAGTCTATTATTCGCCGTGACTAATTAATAGTCTAGCTATTATTACTATTATATAAACGTTAAACAATACTTATATTACCCATAATAATAGCCCAAGTACTTATTATAAGTTTCTAATAACGTTACTATAATTAAATAAAAGTTATATTAAAAATAGCGTAGGTGTAGCTCACTAACAACGAGTTTTATAGAAAACCAGGCTTTGCTTGGAGCATTGTTCCTGAGCCGAAAATCTCTTCTTCTCGGAGTCGCCGAGCACTCTGGGGCTTCCGCCTCGTCTTAGGGAGGTTCCCTAGGCTTTTCGGGGGGGGGGGAGGGGGTTTCGGGCTAGAGAGAGGTTCTAGAGAGAGAGTAAAGAGAAGAAAGAATGGGAAAGGTGTGAAGAAAATGAGGGTGTGAGAGATTCTATTTATAGAGTGAAATATGGCTGAACTTGGTGCCACATGTCACCATCTGGTGGCAAGACTTGGTGAGAAAGCAATGACCAAGATTGTGCCACATCACCCATTTTTGCACAACACACTTTTGACTTCTGAAATCCGTAACTTTCACATACATGCTCCGTTTTTTACGTTCTTCATATCCACGCGTAAGTAAAAATAAGATCTACAGCTTTCATTTGGACTCTTTTGGCTAATTCTGAACTAATCTTAAATTTAACAGTACAAGAAGATTAGATTGTTAAATGACCGCGAAAATTTCGTAAC